GCTCGCTCGGAGGAACGATCGGTTGCTTTGCGTAACACTTATAAACTGCTCATTTGAGTCAGAAAGTCTTCACTCTAACGGGGTTATTGACATTTCCTCTCGTGCAGATGGAACAAAAGCGCTGTCTTCTACCGTTCTAGTCTTTGACAGTTCATTTAAACTAGCCATGATCGAGAACCGTTTGTTCATTTCCATTGATACCTTTAGGCCTACTCGGTCTCTAAGTCCGGAGAAAGACGAAATTTTCCTGTCCTCTGTGCCTTTAGTCAACGAATTAGATTTTTCGCAAAATGATACGGTAATTTCCACACGGCTATTTACGGTATGCGAATAGTTATCAATCCAGTTCTGCATTTTTGGTAATCGTGTGCTTCTAACAGCATATACATTTGACGATCTCTTGACAAGGCGATGTATGGATGTTGGAATTACTAATAAGCAAATGCTTTTCGTCAGAGAAAATTAGGCAGGAAAGTTATTAATGTAGTTTTCATTATACTCTTTGAACTATATTTCTATGTCTGGTTCCTTGCGGTAAAAATATAATTCATTTTGTCAATAACGGTATTAATGTAAGGAGTTCATGGATAAAATTATTACAAAAATTATTAAAAAATAAATATAAAATTATTACAAAAGAATAAAGCAATACTGGGGTCATCTTTGTGACCTACAAAAGAGAGTTCGAATTATTAATAATTTCGATTTCGCGACATAATTGGTTTTTAATCATTATATTTATTCCTACTCATTCATTGTGTTTAATGGCAAAGTTTTTTACCTAGAGAGGAAAGACTACCACTTATAGCTTTGTTTAATGAGATTTTAAAACTGTAATTTAGGTTTTAGATTTAATCATTTAAAATGTAAAAATTGCTTCATTCAAATCACTTTTAGTGTTAATCGAAGTATAATATATACTTAACAAACATCGTATAAAACTTAATAGTATTTATATTTTTTCAGTTTTTGAGCTAAAAAGATTACTGGGCGTTGTTTCTGTGATAATATTGAACGGTTTTTTCCATCTAGTAGCTAACTTTCGTTTTAGTTTTAAGGTAATGGCTGTTTCACTTACGAACACTCGATTTCTTGCCGATAAATTTATATGGTTTGTTTTTGCATTGATTATGTATTTTGCTGATGTTGGCAGCTTTTTTCTCTACACATTTCTAGCGGAAACTATTCATACTCTGAATTCGCGATGTCATATCTTTCGTCATTTGGTTCCATGAATATATCAAACAAATACAGTAAATAGGATCGTGTTCGCACAGAATGTAAAAAAGTTTGTCATTAAATGTAGCATGCACTGTTGTATTATAGGTAAACAGGGGTAGAAGACTATTTCTTCCCAATTTTCCATTGATCTTTGTCTATATCAGGGATCGCCAAACTTTTTTAACCGTTGACCCCCAATCACTTTCCAAAACCTCGCATTGACCCCCATCGTAAAGTTTTATTACAAGTGTAAGTGTATGAGCAAAAAAAAGGTTGTGACCCCTTAGCCTCATAGACTCCCGAATCGACCCTCCAATGATGTTGCATCGACCCCTGGGGGTCGATATCGACGACTTTGGCGACCCCTGATCTATATAATGCTAAAGGATATCAGTCAACGTTTTATTCAACTTCTCTATCATACCATTACCTCGGGGTGGTATGCAGTGGTGAGAAGTCTTTTCATAGTAAAAGTTTGCATACTTCGTTCTTTATTTTTGAAATGAGATGCGAATCTCTATTTGCCAATATTTGTTTCGCAACCAAATGACTTAAGATACTTTGCCTAACAAGACCCTAACAAATGCTTTAGGGCAGCGTTTCTCAAAGTGGGCGATAACGCCCCCTTGTGGGCGCTGGAGGCTTTCAGGGGGGCAGTAGAAGGCTCAAAGAGAATTGGGGGGCATTAAGGAAATATAGAGGGGCGACGGCAGACAAATTCTATATATAAAAATTCGACGGAATATATATAAAATGTTGACATTTTATATATTTTTTTTTTTTTTATTGAAGGTCACAACTTGAATATTTCTAACACATTGATTTTTATTTTAGCTCAGCGTTTCTCAAAGTAAGCAATAACGCCCCCTTCTGGCGCGATGAATAGATCTATGATAGAGGCAGGGTATTGAACGGTGACCAAAGGCAAAATTGGGGCTGATAAGAGGAAACATTGCGTTTAATGGTTTCCAGATGATGAGAACAGTGTACAGTAAGGGCACAAAGTGTGAGATTCATAGAAAAGTTTTCCTAAGAATATTTCCAATCCTTTTCTCACACAAGAGAAAATGGGTTAGGGGGCGTTGGGTATAAATTTATGGAACAAAGGGGGCGGTGGATCGAAAAAGTTTGTGAATCACTGCTTTAGGGTCTTGGTAGTAATATCTGGTATAGGCATTACTTCTATCCACCTGGAATAACGATCTATAAATACTAGCAAATCTCAATTTCCGTTATTAAGCGTTGTAGGTAATAAATTTTGAATGCCCATAGTCATTTGTTCAAATACTCTCGATATGTTAAGAAATTTCTATAAGGATACTTGATATCAGCGTAATTAACATCGATGCATCGCTCATTCTTGACAACTCTGACAATAATGCGTTACATTTTTCTTTATACTGGGGCAATAAAATTGCATTTGTAAATTTTTCCCCATCTTCTTCGTTCTTACATATTTTGAGCATGAAATGTCATTTGATCGTTTTGAAACGAGTATCACTAATCTGTTACAATTTTTCTTTTTCGGGAATTCATTTTCTCTGATAAAGAATCTGATCTGCATTTAAGTATTCATTTGAACTGGCAATACTCATACGTGATTCCTGCTAAGCGACGTCTAATTGTATTGCAGAAAGGATCTTTGTGTTTATTCTTCTCTAATTTAAACTATAATTTATATTAGATGGACTTTGTTAACTGAAGTAATTTGTATGAGACTTAAATCATCAGCGTTAGTTTATGCTTTCCAGGTTTGTTAAAAACATCAAATTGATATTCTTATAGCGCCAAATTCCAACGACTTAGTCTCGAGATCCTGTTTTGAACATCTAAGTGGTGTGTAATCTCATAAAATTTTAAATATTCTACCATATAAATACGGCGAAGAATGCATTTTATGAAAATTAGCCAGAATAAATTTAAGTTAACCAAAGAAAAGTTGTATTGTCTACTAAAATATTTTTATTTCATTTTTTGTAAAGTTAAATTTTTCCTGGCTGATTTTCATAAAATGTAATTTGACTGCAGTTATTCACACTGAGAGAGTGACTGAGAATAAAAAATGTGGACGGCTTTTTTTCTGCTTGCAATGTGATTGACGTCATTAAATTTTTATAAATATATCTTTCACAAATTAAAATGTCATTTCAAGTTTGGTATTCGTTATTTTTCGTGTTTTGTCTCGAGATGTTTCCTGTCAAATGCTCTCTAGGAGAGGATTTTTAACTAAATTTTGCTTTTGCAAAAAGGTTTTGCATTCTTTGCACAGGCCGTATACAAATTTTGGTTTCAATTTACTTTTTGCTTACAGCTACGGACTGTTCTGAATAAAGAAATTCTAATTATAATCACGCTGTATAACGACTCGAGAATTCGGTTTGCATAGTTCTATTGCGGATATTTTTGAAACAATTTTATGTTTCTAATAGGTTACATTTATTATTATACGTGAAAACGTATATTTATCGTAATGATTTTAAAATTATTTGAATTCATAATAATAGAAGTTTTCATTTGGGATACTCTTTCATGTATGATAAAAAGATGCGAACAGTAAATTATGGGTAGAAGCAATTCTTGTAAAATACTAATGGGAATTTGAAAGTCGTTTATTTGAAAAAAAGGCATTGCTTAATCGAACAATTAAACGTATGCAAACATTATACTTAAGTTTTAATAAATTCTACAATAGCGTTCGGTATGTATTTACAAAACAGAATAATTTATGGATGTCAAAGTATTTACAAATGTAATTTAGGTAAATGATTTCGCCTGGTATGTTTCGTAATAAGTGATACAGTAAAATACTCACAGAAGGTACAGTCGAAATTCTTCACTTTTTACTTGTATATTAAAATATACGAGCCGAAGCAAATATCTGTCCTAATTGTGTGAAATACTAAACGATTTACACTTAATTTAATTTCATTAATAAATAAATTTTTACTAAATAAATTTAAACTTAATTTCTTTTTCATTTGTCATAGATAAGGCGAACGTTACGAAATCAAACATCTCAATTAAAGATGGGTATTGGCTGTGCAAAAAAAGTAATTTCGGCCATATTCAGAAAATTAGGAAGATTAATCGGACTTCATCCTTATTACTTTATTACTTTTCCTATTTTAATTACCGCATCATTCTCAGTTTTTGTTGTTAATTTAAAAACTTTGAGTGATATTGTCGATCTGACTGTAGCTGACAGAGGAAAAGTTTTCAATACTAAAAAATTCATTGAGCAGACTTTCCCTTTCAACACTTCTACATTTCTTGATCCATTACGATTTACAACAATACCAAAATTTGCGTTTGCAATGTTTACGAGAAAAGATGGCGAAAATATGCTGGAGAAAAACGTGTTTTTAGAAATAAAATCTGTAGATCAATTAATTAAAAATATTACAGTTATAGTTGAAGGTAGAGAAATAAAATACAAAGACATTTGTGGACGTATACATCAAAAATGCTTCGAAAATCCCATCATTGAAATACTACCTGAAGTAGACGACATCATATCGAAAAAAAAGGTATTAAAATATCCAGTGGATATAGATACTCTGACATTCTCTTATCGAATGTATTCTCTTAACTTTGGAGGTGTAACCACAAAGGAGAACGATGTAATAAAAACAGTAGAAGCTATGAAACTTGTATACTTTGTTGACGAAAGTGACCAAGAAAAGCAATTACAGATAAAAAAATGGAAAACGAAAGTTTACAAAACTTTACTGAAATATAATTTCAAACATGTCAGATGTTCGATTGACTTTTTATGGTCAATGGAAGACGGAATCTTGTTGTTAAATAAAAATTTAGAACCAATGATAGGAGCAGTGTTTGTCTTCGTTACTATATTTTGTATGGTTACTTGTATGAGTAATAGTTGGTCAAAGAGCAAGCCATTTCTAGGTTTAGCAAGTGTGGTATCGGCAGGTCTGGCAGTTGTCACATCTTTCGGATTAATGTCGGTTCTCGGTATCAAGAATACAATATGGAACATTAGCATTCCATTTTTAGTCCTAGGTGAGTTGTTTACGTACAATGTTAAGCTTTTTGTATTTTGATTTTATAATTTGTATCTTTATTTTATGTACAGTTACTGAAATAGATGATGCTTTCGTCTTGATAGCGTGTTGGAGGATCTCTGATCCGAAGCATAAAGTTTACAGGCGCATGGAGAAGACATTTGGTGAAGCGGGAGTTTCCATAACATTAACAACTTTGACCAATTTCTTTTCCTACTGCATCGGCATGATGGCCTCTTTCCCTCTGATAAGAATTTTCTGTTATTATTCGGCAACTTGCATAGTGTTTACGTTTTTATACCAGATAACCTTTTTTGGAGGATTTATAGCATTATCAGGATATAAAGAAGAAAATCATCGTAAATTATCAAGTCGCAATTTCGGTATAATTATTTACTGCTACGTAAAACAAATCCATTTATATAGTCGTTAAAATCATAAATTAATTTTTTTTTATTTGAGTTGGCAAGTAAAGTAGTAATCGTTATATAGTGATAATGTATTTTACAATAGAATGTTAAATAGTTAAAACATTTATCATAAGAAAACAGAACAATAAATAAATGTTATGTCTATAGACATAACATTTGTTGCCACATGACGGTAAAGTTTTTAAAATATATATATATAGTTTTTATCAGAAAGCATCCTTTATTCTGTGCCTGATCCTTTTCATTATAAACATAAAACTGCATCAAAACGAGAAGATTTAATGCCTAAATAAGAAAAAGTGTTATTTATACTGTTCCGTACATCACATATTTCCTTTAATATGTTTCTATACTTACACTGAGTGTTTATTGAAATAATATGTTTTTCTTGTATGTGCTGTAAGTAGTGTATTTTAAGTGTACATAATGCATATATATATATATATTGTACACTTAATTATTATTTTTAAATAGATAATACATTATCGCTGGACGGCCAAAGGTCATAGTGGCAGCCTATACCGCATTCGGAAATCTGGGAGCAGTAGGCTGCCACCTTGACCCAAAAGTCGTTATTAAATTTTAAGACAACATAAAATTTAGAAATATGACTATAAGAATATCTCTGTTCAAATATTCAACGGTAAGGAAATGAAATTAAAAGCATAATCAAATGTAATTACAACCGTGATATGAACCAAAATTATTCTTGAAGTTAAAAAAATTTAGTTTAATTTAAACTCCAAAATACTTTTGAGGAATTAAACTCGGATAAATATTTTCGTAATTTCAATGATGTAAATAGATTTTTGTTCCCTCTACTTGCACATGAACACCTTCACTTCAATTGAATCTTAATGTTAGCAGCTAAGTAACGAGCCGATGGTATCGTGAGAAACTGTAGATATAAAACAAGTCTTTTCTTAGATTGGGATGATTTATTTAGATTTTGTTTTAATTATTTAATTAATATTAAGTATTATTTAGTTAGAAAAACGAACCATACAACTTTACGTTTATTTCGAAATTGATAAAAAAAAGAAAAAAAAACTTTCTTTTAGTTTGTCTACTTCCCACGGTAAGATCAGCTAGTTTGAGTCACCCCTAAAATCCCGTCATATGTGAAACAAGTTAACATCCGTTTGAAGGAAATTTAGGGATAAAAATGGCAAACATTTCTGCCTTCTCCCAGTCCCCCTGTCTCTCTTCTAGAAGTTGTATCTTATGTGCACAACCGCCAATAATTGCTCTCTCTCTTTCTCTCTTGGTCTATTAGAAATGTAGTTAGTTAGTTTATCGACAGAAATATACGTTAATCTTTTTGTATTTAACCTCCATTAAATTTTATTCATTAAACTTTTGTTATTCGTTAACCTGGCTTCAAATTAGAATCATTCTGATGTCTCTATCGACTATTTACCGCTCTCCTACTGTATTGTAGATAGACTCTTCCCACTCGAACGTATTATAAATAACGCGATTATAAATATCTGTAAATATATATAATCGCGAGTTAGGACGCTAATTTTAACAATCCTAACTGGTGTCTAGAACTGACGTCAAAAAATCTTACGATTTTGAAGACAAAATTAACTTAGAACTTTTTCACCATCCAACAACAACGTCAACGGGCCTAACTTGTTCCGATTTCGCAAATAGGTGAAGAGAATTTTTCTACTCCTCACTGCGAATTTTCACAGAATACAGTGTTTTCGATATAACTGACAATCTTATTGGCTTGCGTATTTAGTTGCTGAGTAATCTAGAAACATTCATAGTGTTTTTTTTAATTTTAATGTAGTTAAATAAATTCTTAATGCTTATTGGTACGAAAAATTATAAGTATATTAATTAACACATTTCGACGCATTAATTAAATTAAATTAATAATAAATCATTTTCTACTAAACATCAAGAATAAGAAATAATCATTAACTTCTGCATTACGCATATTTACAGAAAACATCGAAGATGATTCAGAAGAAGATCAAAAATCAGCTGATGAACCTATGATGACATTCTTCAGAGATAAATTAGGGAATCTTCTTTCTCATACCCTAATGAAGATAACCGTTATTATAATTTTTCTTGTGAATCTATCCATCGGAGTTTGGGGAGCTTTAACTATTAATCAAGGACTTGACTTTATAAAGTTATTTCCAGAAGGATCGCCAGTGACAAACGGTACAAAAATGATTTACAAATACTTTGGCCGTTATCCATACGGTTGTCAAATAATTATCAATACAACGTTAGATTATTCGGATTTAAATGTACAGAAATCCATAGAAAGGCTACAGAAAAAATTTGAAAGTCTTCCATACATTGCGGAATCACGATTTTCCACTTCTTGGTTAAAGTACTACAGAGAATTCCAAAACCAACCGATAGCAAAGTATTCATTACAAGGTTATAATATGTCCATAAAACAAGATTTCATTGATGGACTTCGCAATGTTTTTCTCAGATTTGAAGCAGCCAAACAATTCACCAATGATATTGTTTTTAATGAAAACCAATCCGATATTTTGTGTAGTCGATTTCACGTAGCAGTAAACGACATGTTAAATCGAGAAGCGGGCATGGAGTTGTTAAATAATTTATTGAAAACAGCCGAAGAATCTGAATATCCTGTTTTGGTTCATACGCCAATGTCTGCTATGGACGAGCAAGGAATTATCATCGGACGTACAATCAAAGATGTATTTTGGATCACTTCTGTTTTGATAATGATACTTTTTCTTCTGTTTATACCAAGCGTAGTGTCTGCCATCCTCGTTGCGATTTCGGTAGTTTCTACCATAGTAGAAACCTTAGGATATATGTCTCTATGGGGCGTAAACATGGACATTTTGTCTATGATGAGTCTGATATTATGTGTTGGCTTCTGTGTCAATTATCCGGCGCACATGTCTTACGCCTTCGTGTCTTCGTCGTACGAAAGCCCGAATGAAAAGTTGAAGGACGTTCTCTATCATATTGGTTATCCAATATGCCAAGGTTCTCTGTCCACCATTTTCGGAATTCTGTTTTTATACAGAGATATGTACGCCTACATGATATTTGTGAAAATTGTATTATTAATTGCTATAGAAACTGCATTTCACGCGTTATTTTTTATTCCTGTTACTCATTCATATATATCGTCAATATTTCATAAAAATAATTTTTCAAAGTGAAATCAGATACAGAATAATTACAATATAAAAAATTAAATATTCAGATTGAAGTATATGTCAAAATGTATATTTCCAGTTACTAAATTTCTGATTTATTTCATATTATTGTTGATTTTTTTTATGAAAACTTTTATGGAAGAATGGAAGATACAATTTTTTATTTTATGTGTGAATGTTCTTTTAATATATATTATATTTTTGTTTAAATAGTTTAACTTAAACGAATGATCTAAATCGAAAAATTTTACGAAATTCTTTAAATGTTTTACCTTATTAATTTAATGTATAAAACGTTTAATATGTATTGATTAATTAAATATTAAATGGAAATAAATATAAAATGTGACTAACTATTGAAATTTATTGTTTATTGAGTGGTGGTTTGCTATAAGTTTAAACTTTAAAACAGAAATCTTGAAAACGAAGTTTCCCTTTGTTACATTTTTATGGGTTTATTTCATTAAATCTACAGTCGCTGCTGTGGAAAATAAGTGAATAATTCTAATTGTACTTATTTTATGTCTTCACTATACTTGTGGTTGTACTTGTTCTCTATACTTGTCTTCACTATACTTGTGGTTGTAATTGACTGCCTCACAAAGAATATAATTCCTGGCCTCAAAACTGCACCTGTTACTGAAATTTTTATCGAGTCAACCATAGGTAAGCTAACTTTAATCTTCACTCGTATAACGTTATCGAGTGGCACTCCAAAAACTATCCAAAAATATATTTATCAAGTTCTTACTGAAACTTGTGTATATACTATAAAAAGTCAAATTTATTTTAGTTAGAGACAAACTAAGAGAACTAAATAATTTAACAGAACTAAATAAAATGACAGAATGGCAAGTGTTTGAATTTATTACGCTACAGAGTGTTTAAGAAACGAAAAACTAAGAGAAGTTAAGAAAATTTTAAAAATTCTATTCTCGGCTGAATGTTTCAATGAAGTTGAAGTGTGGCAGGTTTAGGAGTAATAGAAATAATGCTCAGCAGTGGGAAGTCAATAGAACCAGAATACGGAAGTAATTGGTCATTGATTTTTGCTCGATTAAGGTGCTGCTCACGTAAAGTTTAACAGATTTCTTTCAGCTGTAGAATACATCAGTAGGGATTGCTTTCAAAGAAAACGTTACTGAAGGCAGATAGAAATGAGTGTTGTGTTGCATAGCCATATAACTTCTACATTCCGTACTTTTAATGTTTGCTCTTTCTCCTCACATGAGTTCTTTACTGCCTAATGGACTTTAAGAATGCTATTTTACTTTTCCAGCTGTAATATATGAGGGAAAAAGTATGTCAATCGGTCATAAAATGAATTCATTTTTTGGACTTAAAACAATTTGAAATACAAAACAGTTATAGGATAATTACTGTATGTATGGATGTTATTGTGTATTGGACAAGATTTTGTTTATCCTGTTTGAAGCTTAATTAAAACGTGTTATAAATGCAAGAAAAATACTGCAGAAGAGAAATTACAATTTTCGATTGTTTAGATATTGATTTTTCTTTCAATTTTCATCCATTTTAATTAGATGTACAAATCTATAAATTTAATTATAACAAATGCGTGCAAGGAAAAATTATAATTGATCGAGCACAACAAACAAAATTATTTTTAATTTATTACATGTGTTTTTATTGTTGTTACTTCAATCAACTACACAGATACTAAAATATATGAGGAATTACTGTATTTTTACTTTCCCGGATGTCATGTATACGTAAAATTGGAAAGTATTGAAATCGTATCAAATTTGACCTTTCGACTTTTCTGCAAATCTCCATGATTTCAGATTCTCTCAAATCCAAAATGTCACAAAATGGGATAAACTTTCGGTGGATATACAGTGGGTGATCGGTTAACGAACAAATCGGATAAGGAACACTTTCGCGAAAGGTTATTATGATCCGACAACGAACACTTTACTCAACAAACAGAAGGAGCGACGTAAAATAACGAATACCGATTGATTTTCCCTTGTCTTCAAGTAACAATTCGAAACTTTTTGGAGTGCGGGAGACGTCGACATCGACGTTCTACCCAGTATTTATACTGATCGGATAGTATTCCCCCGAACTTTGAAACTCTCCCTTGTAATTCCAGCCTTTTATATATCTGACAAAAACAATTCTTTTACGTTTTCTTCTGAAAAAACGGATTTATGCCGATATCTACTATTAAAGTTTTTTTGAATAAGTGGGAGGATGTCAGAACGATGGTCTTAAAATGGCATCCAAACTAGGTTGAGGTTAATAGGCCTAGGGATCTCTACAGTTACAATGCTATTAATTACTTCTAAAAAACATGAAGACAAAAAAGTAATCGACATTGAACAGATTTTTTACCCTCCAAAACGGAAAAAACATGACTAATAAAAATGCAAGACCGTGTATATATGTATTTTTATTATTACATATGAACAAACGTAGTAAGAAAGAATATATTTTTTATTTTTTTTTTTGGAATCTCCAGAACGAATTAATCAATTTCTATAGAAACCTATGACAAATCGATAATCGGTTAACGAACAATTCGGATAGCGAACAAAGTCTTGGAACGGATTATGTTCGTTAACCGATCACCCACTGTATATTTATGTGACTGTGTGTATTACATTCTGAGTGGAATATTATTGAAATATCGAACAAGGCATAGAAAATAGAAAATAGAAAATAGAAAAAAACACCAAAGATTTTTGCATGGTTCAATTCAGATGTTTTCGAAATATCAAGAAATGCAAAAAACTCCGGGGCTTTTTTCTGTGTATGGATGTTAGTTCTTTTATGTGGGGCACGATTTTTTCACCCTATTTGAAGCTTAATAACTCCTAGGCTTTTGCCAAAAAATATCTGAATTTTTGTAGAAATGTTTGTGCATTAGGGGATTGATGCTATTAAATGTTGGTAATTAAAGGTCAACGGATTAGGGAGATAAAGGGGTGTCGTGTGTCGAATGTCGACTAGAATCGGACTTTATGACGATTTTAATGGTTATTAGCATTGACAATTTTTCATAAAAACCGTCTCTGCTATAAAAATTAAGCCTTCTGTCATGTTATAATAATTAAAAATGTAAAATGTTTTTTTGATTAAAATATCACAACAGATGGCACACCAAAATTTGAAATGTTGTCGGGGAATGTTAAGCAACTCTATACCGGATTTTTAAAATTTTGTATTTTAATTTATAAATAAAATAAATAAAATCATTATATTATTTTAAATTTAATTTTCAAATTATGTCTAAATAAGTTTGATGTTGATTATGCATTAAAAGAAGGGCGGCGATTTACAGACCGCTCTGGGCGGTTGTAACTGTAGCGACGCCACTGAATAAATAATTCCTAAAATCACAATCGTAGTCACGCTACATACGAATTCCCTGGTCATTCCGTGTGACGTTGTCGACAATGAAAGTGTTGCTTCTATTTGTTTCCCTTTACGGAAATTTCGATTACATCTTTTCCAATTAAGGTAAGTAAATTGTCTTTGCAATGTAGAGTTATAGAGATTTCCAGTTTTTTATTCGATTTTGTCATTTTCACATCGCAATTAAATAACAAAAAGTTATATAAATTTCAAAATCTTTGTTTCTCTGAAGATAAAATATTCGTATTCTATAAATTATAATAAAATTTGTATCGTGTACTGTGTTGTTGCAAACTTGAAAACTTTCAAAAAGTAAAAACCTACTGAAACAGCATAATTGTCTATACGCTGTTGCAACAGGTTATTACTTTTCTGGCTGTTTTACATTAACAGACAGAAAATTTCGCAATTGGTTGAAAAACGGAATCTAAAATTTTTACACTATTCGATTCAGGGAAAGTTAAAACATCGATAAATGCAAAAGATGCGGTTTTCCCCCCTGTATGAATAGATGTTAGTGTACGTGTGACAGTATTTTGTTCACCCTCTTAGACGTTTAATGATTTTTGGGTCTTTTTTCCAAAATTTCCAAAATTTGGCAGGGAAGTTTGTGAACTAATGAAACAAATTTGATTAAATTTTGGCGCTTAAAAGTCGAGGGGTGAGAAGTAGAGGGACTCGTGTCTCGAGTAGGGTGGAACATCATGAAGAATTTACTCGTTATTTATACTCGTTATTGTATAAAGGCTACAAAATTGGTTTTTGCATTTGTATACATTATATTTCTATTGCGAACAATCAAATCTACATATATAAACTTTCCAAGGAAAATACAGAGTATTATGCAGGAAAATAATGATTTTTATTGTAAAATATGTTATTGTAGTTTGCAGATTATTATCCACAAAGTAAAATAAAATATTTTCTTAGAATTTATAAATCTTAAATAAACATCAAAATACATTTACTTTCCTCTAAGGGATAAAGTGGAATTTTATTTATGCACCAGGAAAACGTGCCTGACACCATTTTTTATGATTATGCAGAAATTCTATTATTTTCAGTAATTTTTTAAGTTAATTGTATTTGAAAGCACGAAACATTTCGTTAAAAATAAAATTTGTGTAATTAATTAATTTAATTAATAAAAAAAATAGTTAACACGAATTTGTGTTTTCATAATCTTTATATCGAGTGTTAATTTATCATTATTTTCCATTAGAATTACATCTTTAACTGAATACTTGTACTTAAAACATTAAAATCGTAATAATGTCACAGCACTTTCAAACAAATATTAAAAATCAATTTGACAACAAAATTCAAAATAAATTGTTTTTCACCTAAGTACGTGTATTAGGTAACTTTCGTCTTCAATTAACATTCACAATTAATTACATTACATCATTATGTTTCCATTGTTCGATAGACCACCCTATAACACTGTTGATAATTCCGTGTTATATGAATTCCATGTTGTACGAGTCACTTAGCTTTTACAAATACGTGTGCCGGGCTGTGAACGGCTCACGTATTTGTAGAATGTAAATGACTCTTATAACATGCAATTCATATAACACGGAATTGTCAACAGTGTTATAGGAGGTCTACTGTATTTAATA